CTCTTGAAAAATATGGTGTGTAGTAATAACAGCTCCTTCTTGGCATCCACTGTGGGTCAGGCATTGTGCTAAGCACATTATGTGGCACTCAATGAATGTTCACACCAACTCAGGGAGGTAGGGACTGAGAGGTTCCCATCGTATAGGCGAGGAAGCTGATGCGCAGAGAAGCTTACCTGCCCAAGCCACTCCGGGCAGGGTCCCGCCTCTGGTGCGGTTGTCTCCTTTGGGGCATCTCAGATGTTTCCAGCGCTTTTGCCACCAAAAGGCTGCCTGGGCAATGCTTCTCTACGCAGAGGCCGGAAGGACATCACGGCTGGCTTCCTCCATTCTGCAGCCTCCCCAGCCCTCCCAACCGCCCTTCCAGGGCCTTTCTGCGGCCTCTCTCCCGCCTCCACCACACCTGCTGGCTGGTGTCCGTGGGCAGGCTTCATCCCTGTGAGTGTCCTAGGTCGCTCTGTCCAGAGACAAGTTGCCTTGGTTGAGCCAATCTGCTTCCAAAAATAGTATCTGAGCTATAGAAGCTACTGGAACTAGCTCCCCTCCAGTCTGTAAAAGCCTCTCCATCTTATGGGGCCGCAGAGGGCGTCATAACTACCTGTCATATATTGCAGTCATCTTGAAATAAAATGCATGAAAATATTTTGGATGTATTATTCCACCTAGAGTTAGCTTTTAAAAAGAAAAGCAAAATGAGCAGTATCAGCTTTTTTGAATAAAGTTAGGAATCTCAGTGCAGTCATCCCTCAGCACCCCAAGGCATTGGCCCTAGGACCCCTCCCCTGCTCCTGGGATACCAAAAATATGCAGATGCTCAAGTTCCTGAAATAAAAATGTCGTAGTATTTGCATATAACCTACACACATCCTTCTGTGTATGTTAAATCATCTCTAGATTGCTTAAAATACCTAACACAATGGAAATGCTATGTAAATAGTTGTACTGTTTTGTTTAAGGACTAATGACAAGAAAAAAGTGTGTACATATTCAGTACAGATGCAACCATCTGTTTGTTTTCTAAATATTTTTGATCCTTGGATGTTGAATCCGCTGACGTGGAGCCCACGGGTACGGATAGCTGGCTGTAATCAGTGTAGAGATGGGATTTGTCCCCATTCAAACACCTGTGTAAGTCCCTGTTGTTTCCAAGTGTTTCTCCGTTGAGAGGCCCCGGGGAGAGTAGTGAGGGTATAGACACAAAGAGCAGGTCACTTGGGGTGGGAGCCTCACCGGGTTCTTCTGGAAGTCGCATTGTTCAGTCACCCTGATCTAGTTCCACCACCTTAAAATAGGGAGAGTAACGGTGCCTGTCTCAGAGGACTGTTGTGAGAATAAGTAGGCTAATCTACCTGCACAGTACTTCGGTCACTGCTTGGCAGTGTCAGCCCTGGGGAGTGCTTTCCATGGTTCATAATTTAATATTATCCTAATGGCTCCCATGGCATAGAATATGTGAGATTCTTCTACCTACAGATTGGCAAACTGAGGCCCAGAGGGCAAGCCCCTTGCAACCCAGCTTCCTGTAGCCAATCACTGGCACTTCGAGGCTGAGTCCTCCCTCTGGGGTCTGTCTTCTATGCCCGCCATTTCCCAGCTACTTGAGGAAGAAGAGGCCAGGCCGAACCCTGCTCTGTGCGGCCTAAGGCTTCATAGCCCCTTTGTGAATCTCTATCTTAAAGGAAAAGATTCCTAAGTGCAAGAACTCTTACATTTTAACCATTTCTGGAATTTATTTTTATAAAGCATTTCTATAGTTTGCCTGTCCTGCTACATTGAGTGCAGGGAGTATAATTTAGTACAATCGCAACTTCCTGAGCATGATCTCATATTTTTCCTAGCGTCGACACTGTGCGTAGCAGTTACTCCTGCCCCCTGACCAAGCCTCATGCTTCTCAAACTAGAACTGAGGTTCCGTCCCCGAAGGTCTGTGTCCCCCACTCCCTCCATGGGACAAGTCGCTATTCTAGGTGTTTGAAGCCAGAGTGTCCATGTGCCTTATCTCCCCTGAAAAAAGTCCATTTTATTGGAAAGTTCACTAGGGAGTTGGAGGTGAGTGATCATTATTTTAATATTCCTTTAAAAATGTACATTTGTTGACAATATTTAAAATACAAAACTTACTATATAAGAAAAGCCAAATTTCCAGCTTCTCTTAAAGAATGGGAAGATTTGAAGATTTGGCCATGTTAGGCCCATATTCCTGCATATGCTTTGGTGGACTGAATAGTGGCTGCCCGCAGGTAGATTGCTCTATACTTTACCACAGTCCCCAGTACTCTCTAGGGCCTCTCACTTGTTTCCATGCAAGACCTTCTTTGCTTGGCTGGCCTGTGGGTGGGCAGCCCCTATTTTAAGGCTGAGTTTTCTCAACTGTGCCATAGGAGGTTGAACTGGGTTAAGGGTTGGCCATATTTCTGCAAGTGTCTGAACTCACCATAAGAAAGAAGTAGGCACAGGGGTCCCATCTAAATGTATCTGAGAGGGTGTTTTACAATGACACAAATGTATCTTTGCCTCATACCTTATTCTTCAGCAGCGACATAATTCTAAACAAGGACAGAAAGTTTTGTTTTAGGATTTGTGTGTGTGTGTGTGTGTGCTTTCTGTCTTAGCTGTGAGGAGCTAAATGGATTTTACCCTATTTTTCATTTTTATTAGTTAAAATAAATTGAGGTTTGGGACTTGTCAGATTCTATACTATCAGAAAAGAAGGTCACTTTGATGGAGGAACCAACCTAACTGGGCACCAGCTAGTCACTCATGGCAGCATGTCCTTGCAGTGCCCACGGTCAGGGTCCTGCCACCCTCGTGGTTGTTGGTGAATGGCATTCTTCGATCTAGATCAAGTCAGCTGTGAATGCTGCAAATGCCATTTCTCTGCACTAGAGTGACTCAGAGAGTCTAATCCAATCCTTTTTAATAAAAGCGGCTTTTTCCAAAGGGCTGAGTTGTTATTTGGTGGCCCAGGCAACCATGGACATTGGGATGGGTGCTGGCAGGGCCAGGAGGAGGCACAGGGAAGTCCCTCACGTCTAGCCTGTGGCTGCTGCTCTTCTTATCCACGGGCTTTGCTATGAGCACCTGTGGACAGGGGCTGTCATGTGTTGGCTGTTGGACTTCTTGGGTGGCTTTAAATAATTAATGCTTCCTTTTTCTGGCCCAGATTCTAAAAAAATTGAGAAGTACGTGAAAGGAACTAGAAAGACAGAAAAAGACAAAGCCGAGTCTGTCACCCCCATGGGCTCTTGTTGGTAATGGGAAGGGGGGTGAGCAGGTCTGAGATTGAGAAACTGGGGAGCTGCTGACATCGTTCCCTGAGAGTGGGGAATTCAGGGCGGCTGTAGAGCATCCGATCTTACTTATCCTGGAGGAGCTGCGCGGCACAGCCCCGTCTGCCTTCCCTGCTCGGCCCAGCCAGGCACGGTCCCGCAGCCTCCCGCCTCCCATGGCCGGGGCCTGCTCTCTGTGAGCACCTTGTCCTGCCCCGCTCCGCCAGCCTGCTGCCCTGCCCACTGCCCGTCTGGTTTCACAGCTTGGGGCCTGAGGATTGGCTTTCGGCACCTTTCCTTCCCTCCTGAGCACTGGGGGGGGGATTTGGGAAATGCCCTTAACTTCTCTGAGCTTGTGTTTCTTCCCCTAAAAAGTGGAGGGTGTTGGTTTTCTGTTGCTGTGTAACAAATCGCCAACATTTAGTGACTTCTTATCTCAGTTCCTGTGGTCAGGTGTCTGGGCACAGCTGCACTGGGACCTCGCTCAGGCTGTCACCAGCTTGCAGTCGAGGCCTCAGCTGGGCCCTGTCCTCCTCGGGCACTGGGGGTCCTGCCCAAGCGGCACGGGCTTTCTGCAGCTTTCACAGCCTTGCGGGTGGAGGCCTGAGGCCTTCAGCTCCTAGAAGCTTTCTCTCTCCATGGACAGTTAAAAACATGGCAGTTTGTTTCTCTGAGGCCAGCACGAGTGGATCTGCGTCTTCTGGAAGAACCCAGTCCCTCTTTTAAGGACTCACCGATGAAGTCAGGCCCACTGGGATGGTCTCCCTTTGTTTACCTCAAAGGCAACTGATTAGGGACCTTAATTACACTCACCTTTGCTGTAAACCTCATTACAGGAGTGATCATCCCGTCACAATTAAACTTACACTCAAAGGACAGGAATTTACAGGACATGTGTGCCAGGGGCTGGGAATCTTGGGGCCACTTCTGGAATTCTGCTGCCCGCACAGAGTTAAGAGCAGTGGGTGGCCTGGCGTGGGGCTGCAGCAGGAGCTCGGTAGAGGTGAGTTTCCGTCCTTTCCTCAAACAGCCCTGTAAGACACAGGCATCCACGTGGCCATTTCTTAACTCTTCTTCTGCCTGTCTTTTACCCAAAGGATCTCCACTAGGGCCTGATTGCTGGCATTTTTCCCTTCAATGAAGTGAGAATGAAAGATAATGGCAATTATCTTGTGGGCCTAACAGCAGGAGCCACTGATGTTTAAGATTTCCATTCAGACCATTCTCAGGCAGTTGGATTTGCAGATTACCACCCCTCTGAATTTTCTGCTCTGAGATTGTTCTGGGAAACATTGAGATAACAGGGAGGCCAGGTTGTAACAGCATATGCTGTGGGTTAGGAGCTTCTCATTGTCAGCTGAGGACTGTGTGTATGTGTGTGTGTGTGTGTGTGTGTGTGCGTGTGCGTGCACACGTGTGTATGTCTATGTGCACTCTGTGTTGCTGCATGCATGTGTATGTACTGTGTGGGTGCACATGTACTTGTGCCTTGTGTGTGTGCACACATGTGTATGCATGAGTGTACACATTGCCTGTGTGTGCACACATGTGTATGCATGAGTGTACACATTGCCTGTGTGTGCACGCTGTGTGCAGATACATATTATAGTGCATATGTGTGTGCGTGTCCACATTGCGTGTGTGCACATGTGCACACACATTGCATTTCGTGCGTGTGTGCACATGTGTTCAGTGTGCTGGTCTCTCACATGCTGCCTCTCCTCTGCACAGTCCGCTACAGAGTGCAGCAGCCTCCTGCGAAGCCTCCACAGCCGGGAGCAGGAGCAGCTGAGGAAGGCGCTCGCCTTGCAGCAGGAGGAAGACTTCGCCAAGGCTCACAGGCAGCTGGCTGTTTTCCAGAGAAACGAGCTGCATAGCATCTTTTTTACACAGATAAAAAGTGCTATGTTCAAAGGGGAATTGAAGCCAGAGGCAGCTAAAATGTTGCTGCAAAATTATTCTAAAATACAGGTAATACCTCAAATTTAGGCTTACTGTGATGGGAGAGTAGCTTTCCTGAATTGTTTCAGTAAATTTCTCCTCTCTTTCAGGGTTAAGTCCTGTCTCTCCTTTTGTGCCGTGTGCCTATTAGCTAACTTTCTCTTCCTTGTGCCTCTTGGTGTGTGAGTGAGGTTCTGGTAAGCAGGGCAGGTGGTGGCTTGGCATACAGGCTGTGGACTCAGGCTGGTGCATTCCACCAGTCACCTGCTGTGCAAACTTGAGCAAGTTACCTCACTTCTCTGAGCCTCAGTTTCCTCACCTGTAAGATGGGCACAAAAGAGCCCCCATACTCACAGGGGTGTGATGCAGATTTAATGAGCTGATCCATGGAAAGTTAGTGCTTGGCATGACATATAATGTGTTGTATGTATGTATATAGCAGTGAAAAATTAAATATGTATGCATATGTGTGTATTGATGTGCATGTAGGGTTTAGTATCTGTGTCTAGATATATCTGGATGCATTCGTGTGTTTTTGCATGTAAGCTTGAGTGTGAATGTTATTAATGCAGACTGAATAATTTCTAAGGTGATAGTGAAAATAGTTTATCTGAGACTGTTGGCTTTTCTGTGGAATTTCTTATGAGGCCTGCGTGAAGTATTAACATTAACAGGCACGGGGCGCACGCACAGCACACGTGTACAGAGTGGCATCCCTGGTTTGCAAGAAGGCACTTCTTTGCCTGTCCCTGTGTTACTGTGGGTGCTGACAGCATGCTCCAGCTGGTCGTGAGGGAAGTCACAGCAAACTCCTGTTTAACTTTGCGGAATTTTCTGTTTTGACTGTGAATAACATATTTGAGAAGTGCAGATGTCATCAGTCATTAGACAGGCTGCCTCTTCTGGTTTATGAGCCAGTCTCTGTCTATCAACAGCCAGGCGCCTGTGGATGATGCTGGAGGGCGTGGGGCATCGTCTGGCGTGCTCAGTCCGAGGGGTTGATTTGCTCCTCGGTGCAGTGTCCTGTTCATTTTACGAATGTGAACCTGTGGTTCTTGCGCAGTGTGTTTTTCTGACGTAGCAGTCACTCTGCTATTTCAGTGTTATCTTTATAAGTGAAAATCATTCCAGAAAGTTGGCTTGATGGTTAAATTTCCCTATTTGAAACTCCCTGCTTGCACTGGAAGTGTAGGTTCCACACACTGCAGAACGAGCTGCGTCCGCCCAGGGTGAATCGAGGTTTGCAGCCAGCTCTGTGACTGCCGTCGCCGCAGCGGGGTGAAAGACGGCATAGGGCGAGGAGGAGGTGTGAGCACGGCTGCCTCTGCGTCCGTGAGCGGGTCCTTGGTGTTGGAGCCACGAGACTCAGCATTCAGCAACCACTGGCAAAGCAAAGGCTGGCCCCGCTCTCCCTTGGGGACGCCCGACCAGCACCGGCCCAGTACGTGAGGGCTGAGACCGTCAGGGCCATCCCAGGAAGAAACCACGTAATTGTCACCAGCCTGTCGGGAAGAGAGGGCCACTCTCACAAGGCACCGGGACGTAAGGAGAACAGGCTAGCCTCTGCATTGCAATCTAGGCTTTCCCATCAAACCTGTAATGAAAGTACATAATTGGGAATTCTGTCGCGTTCCTCGTTAGGCATCCAGACCCCACGGCATTACTTGGGCATCAACAGACTCACATCCCCAACACACGGCCCCAGTGCTGCGGAGAACAGGGACACGTGGCAGCGTCCCTGTGGCAGGGATGGTGTCACTAGTAATTCTAAGGGGATGCTAGGCCACCTCTGACCCACCATGCAGCCTCCACCGTCTGGACCGCGCTAACTCCCAGTGTTAGACCTGGGGGTGTTGCGGCTTTCCGTGGAAAGCACCGTGTCCACGGCGCCATGTGTCTCTGTTAACAAAGCGTGGACCCTTTTGGCGATCCGTCCCGTGGACAGTGTTTCCACCGACGGGTAAAAAGACAACGAAGCCAGTCCATGGGATGACACTGCAGATGCTGCTGGTCCCATTGCTGTCTACTGATTAGAGCTGGATTTTTGGAGGCAGCCTATAATGATTTCAGAGCACAGGCCTTGTGCTTAAATTAGATTGCTGGGTTCAAATCCCTGCTCAGCCATTTGTCAGTTGTGTGATGTGGACTCAGTTTCTTCATCTGTGAAATGGGAGTAATAATATTCTCTCCTTAGGTTAAGTTAGATGAGGCATGAGATACTTCTGGCCCAGTGCTAGGCCCAGAGAAAACCCCCGATATAAGCTGCTTATTATTACTCTCCCGTGTTGGCTGGGCTTTGTTCATTTTGTGGATTGAGGAGCACTCTTGCTGCTCTTTGTGCACACCCGTGTGGTCTCCTGAGTGTGGAGCCCCTGGGCCTTGGGCTGATGGCTGCTTTATGTCGGAGCTCCAGCTCCCTCCACAGCGGGGCGTGGTGCGTGGGCGAAGGATGACTGGGTGAAATTTATGTTCCATTTCTTAGGGCAGTAAAGACGCTCTGATAACCTTTTAGCACCTAGGTCTAGACGGCACTTTTCAAAGCCCTCATTTCTTATTTGTGTATACCTTCCTCATAAACCCTTGTTATGGACGGGGAGGCTAAAGGTGTTAGTCCCAGTGTTTCTTTTCCTGTTTATATTCTTCTGAAACGAAGAGTAATGTTTTAAGTATCTAGAAAGATTTTTCTCTAAATTTAACTAGGCATATTGTCTGAAATCTTTTTAAACAGGATAATGTAGAAGAGCTAATGGACTTTTTCCAGGCTAGTAAGAGGTATCATCTAAGTAAAAGATTCGGCCACAGAGCGTGCCTGGTGCGGAGCCTGCAGGCGTCGGAGAGCCGTGCGCAAGGCCTTCTGAGCGCCGCCGCGGCGCAGCTGCCGCGCCTTGTCCAGAAGCACGAGAGGTAAGGCCCGCTGCTGCCCGCTGCTGCCAGCTGTCTTTTGTGGCTGCTGGCTTGACAGAACACCACAGGCTGGGTGACTTATCGAAAGAAGAGGCTTATTTGGCTCACAGCTCTGCAGGCTGGGAAGCCCAAGGTCGGGCGGGGCCTTCTTGCCGCGCCACGGTATGGCAGCAGGATGCTGCGGGGGAGGCGGCCTGAGCGCCAGACAGAACAGCGACTCCTGTGGTGACAAGCCCACTCCCACGAGGACGGCACTGACCCATTCGTAAGAGTGGGGCCCTCATGACCCCATCACCTGTTAAAGGTCCCACCTCGTCATACCCTCCCAGTGGCAATTAAATTTCAACATGAGTTTTGGGGGAACGTTCAAACCATAGCACAAACTGCCCGAATGTTCTTCACTGAAGACCAACTAACTCTGTTGATGCAACATATGTGCTGACTATTTCTTACTTCTTTCTTTTTTGTTTTTGTTTTTTTTTTTTTTTTTTTGAGACAGAGTCTCGCTTAATTGCCCAGGCTAGAGTGAGTGCCGTGGCGTCAGCCTCGCTCACAGCAACCTCAAACTCCTGGGCTCAAGCAATTCTACTGCCTCAGCCTCCCCAGTAGCTGGGACTACAGGCATGCGCCACCATGCCCGGCTAATTTTTTCTATATATATATCAGATGGCCAATTAATTTCTTTCTATTTATAGTAGAGATGGGGTCTCACTCTTGCTCAGGTTGGTTTCGAACTCCTGACCTCGAGCGATCCGCCCGCCTCGGCCTCCCAAAGTGCTGGGATTACAGGCGTGAGCCACCACGCCCGGCCTCTTTTTTGTTTTTAAAAATTCTTTATTTTCATTATTATGGGTACATAAGAGTTCTATGTATTTATAGGATATATGTGATGTTTTGGTACAGGCATACAATGTGAATTAATCAAATCAGGGTAATTAGGGTATCCATCAGCTCAGGCCTTTATCATTTCGTTGTGTTAGGAACATTCCAAGTCCACTCTTGTAGTTATTTTAAAGTATACCCCAACTTATTTTTGATAATAGTCACTTCGTTGTGCTATCAAATATTGCTCATTCCATCTATATGTGTACTATATGGGATTATGGGTACTATATTTTTGTACCTATTAACCGTTCCCCCTTTATCCCTCCTTCCCCAGCACCCTTCCCAGCCTCTGGTAACCCTCTTTCTCTGTCTCCATGAGATCAATTGTTTTTAGTATTTAGCTCCCACATGTGAGTGAGAACATGTAAGATTTGTCTTTCTGTGCTTGGCTTATTTCACTTAACATAATGTTCTTCAGTTCCATCCATGTTGTTGCAAATGGCAGGATTTTAGTCTTTTTGTGGCTTTATAATATTCCATTGTGTATACATACCACAACTTCTTTATCCATTCATCTATTGATGGACATTTAGGTTGATTCGAAATCTGGGCTATTGTGAATCATGCTGCAATAAATGTGGGAATGCAGATATCTTTTCTATATAACAAATTCCTGTCTTTGGGATATATACCTGGCAGTGGGATTGGTGGGTCATATAGTAGTTCTATTTTCAGTTTTCTAAGGAACCTCCATACCGTTCTCCGTAGTAGTTGCACTAATTTACATCCCTTCCAACAATGTACAAGGGTTTCCCTTTCTCCACATTCTCACCAGCATTCATTGTTGCCTGTCTTATGGATAAAAAACATTTTACTAGGGTGAGGTAATATCTCATTGTAGTTTTGATTTGCATTTCTCTGATGACTGATGATGTTGAGCATTTTTTCATGTATTTGTTGACCATTTGTATGTCTTCTTTTGAGAAATGTCTATTCAGATCCTTTGCCCATTTTTAATCACATTTTTTGACTTTTTCCTGTTGAGTTGTTGAAGCTCCTTCTCCTTGTATATTCTAGTTATTGATCCCTTGTCAGATGGGTAGTGTGCAAATATTTTCTCCCATTCTGTGGGTATCTCTTCCCTTTGTTAATTGTTTCATTTTCTGTACAGGAGTATTTTAGCTTGATATGATACCATTTATCCGATTCTGCTTTGGTTCCTGTGCTTTGGGTCTATTACTCAAGAAATCGTTGCCTAGACCAGTGTCCTAAAGCATTTCCTGAATGTTTTCTTTTAGTAGTTTCATGGTTTCAGGTCTTAGTTTTAAGTCTTTAACCCATTCTGATTTGATTTTTGTATATGGCAAGAGATAAAGTTCTAGTTTCATTCTTCTGCGTATGGACATCCAGTTTTCCCAGCACCATTTATTGAAGAGATTGTTCTTTCCCCTCTGTATGTTCTTGGCACCTTTGTTGAAGATAAGTTCACTATAAGTGTATGGATTTATTTCTGAGTTCTTTCTTCTGTTCCATTGGTCTATGTGTCTGTTTTTATGCCAGTACCATGCTGTTTTGCATACTACAGCTCTGAAGTATAATTTGAAGTCAGATTATATGATTCCACCAGTTTTGTACTTTTTGCTCAGGATAGCTTTGGCTATTTTGGGTCTTTTGTGGTTCCATATAAATTTCAGGATTCTTTTTTCTATTTCTGTGAAGAATGTCATTGGTCTTTTGATGGGGATTGCACTGAATCTGTAGATCACTTTGAGTGGTCTGGACATTTTAACAATATTGATTCAACAGGCATGGAGTATCTTTCCATTTTGTGTGTCCTCTTCATTTTATTTCATCAATATTTTATAGTTTTCATTATAGAGATTTTCACTTCTTTGGTGAGGTTTATTCCTAGGCATTTTATTTTATTTGTAGCTACTGTAAATAGGATTACTTTCTTGTTTTCTTTTTCGGATTGTTTCTAGTTGGCATACAGAAATGCTACTGGTTTTTGTATATTGATTTTGTGTCCTACTTTATTGAATTTGTTTAACAGTTCTAATAGTTTTTTGGTGGAATCTTTAGGTTTCTCTTCAAAGTTCTTTTCAACTTTCCCTTACGGTACTTGTTGACTATCGGTCTCTTGCCACCTCTTAACAGTTTCACGCCCTCTTGAACTCTCTCTTCAAAGTTCCAGGTTTCTCTAAATAGAATATTGTATCATCTGCAGAGAAGGATAATTTGACTTCTTTCTTTCTAATTTGGATGCCTTTATTTCTTTCTCTTTCCTTATTGCTCTACCTAGAACTTCTTGTACTATGTTGAATAACTGTGGTAAGAGTGGGCATCTTTGTCTTGTTCCAAGTCTTACAGGAAAGGCTTTAGCTTTTCCCCATGCAATGTGATGCTTGTTGTGAGTCCATATGGCTTCGATGCCCATTTTTTTGAGAGTTTTTATCATGAAAAGATGTTGAATTTTATCAAATTCTTTTTCAGCATCAATTGAAATGATCACGTGGTGTTTTCCTTGTTCTGTTGATATGATGTATCACATTGATTGATTTGTGTGTGTTAAACCATTCTTGCATCTCTGGAATGAATCCCACTTGATCATTATGAGTAATATTTTTAATGTGTTGTTGAATTAGGTTTGCTTGCATTTTGTTGAGGATTTTTGCAACTATGTTCATCAGAGATATTGGTCTATAGTTTTATTTTTGTCGTTGTTGTGTCTTTGTCTTGTTTTGGTATCTGGGTAATACAGGCATCGCAGAATGAGTTTGGGAATATTCCCTCCTCCTCGATTTTTTGGAATAGTTTAAATAGGATTGATGTTAATTCTTCTTTGAATGCTTGGTAATATTCCACAGTGAAGGCATCGGATTTTGGGATTTTCTTTGAAGGGAGACCTTTTATTTTTGCTTTTATCTTATTGTTATTGGTTTATTCAGGTTTTGGATTTCTTTCTGGTTCAATCTTGGTAGGTTATAGATGTCTAGATATTTAGCCCTTTCTCCTAGGTTTTATAATTTATTGGCATATAGTTGCTCATACTAGTCTCTAATGTTTCTTTGAATTTTTATAGTACTGGTTGTAATGTCTCCTTTTTCATTTCTGATTTTATTTATTTGGGTCTTTTCTCTTTTTTTCTTAGTTCTGACTAAAAGTATGTCAAATTTGTTTCTTTTCAAAAAACCAAGTTTTTGTTTCATTGATCTTTTGGATTTTTGTTGTTTCAGTTTCATTTATTTCTGCTGTAATCTTTATTATTTATTTTCTTCTAATTTTGAGTTTGGTTTGCTCTTGTTCTTCTAGTTCTTTGAGATGCATCATTAGGTTGTTTATTTGAAGTTTTTCTACTTTCCTGAGGTAGGCATTTTATTGTTATAAACTTTCCTTATGGCTTTTGCTGTATTCCATAGGTTTTGATATGTTTTCATTTTCATTTGTTTCATGGCATTTTTTAGTTTGCTTCTTAATCTTGTCATTGATTCACTGGTCACTCAGGACCATATTGTTTAATTTCTATGTTTCTGTAATTCCTAATGTTCCTCTTGTTATTGATTTCTAGTTTTATTCCATTATGGTTAGAGAAAATACTTGATATGATTTCAAGTTTTAAAAAATTTTTGATACTTGTTTTTTGGCCTAACATATGGTCTATCCTTGAGAATTATCCATGGGCCACGGAGAAGAATGTGTATTCTGCAGCTGTTGGATGAGGAGTTCTATAAATATCTGTTAGGTCCACTCGGTCTGTACTGCAGGTTGAATGTAATGCTTCTTTGTTGATTTTCTGTCTAGATGACCTGTCCAGTACTGAAAGTGGAGTGTTGAGGTCTCGAATGATTATTGTATTGTATTGTATTATTGGGGTCTATCTATATCTTTAGCTCTGATAATATTTGCTTTATATATCTGGGTGCTCTAGTATTGGGTACATATATATTTAGAATTGTTATATCCTCTTGCTGAATTGGCCCCTTTATCATTATATCATGACCTTCTTTGCCTCTTTTTACAGGTTTTGTCTTGCAATATATTTTATGTGATACAAGTATAGCTACTCCTGCTCTTTTTTGGTTTCCATTTGCATGGAATATCTTTTTCCTTCCCTTTATTTTCAGTCTATGTGCATCTTTATAGATGAAGTTGGTTTCTTATAGACAACATATAGTTGAGTATTTTTTTAAATCTATTCATCCACTCTATGTCTTTTGATTAGAGTGTTTAATCCATTCATATTAAATGTTATTATTGATATGTAAGACTTATTGCTGCCATGTTGTTTTTTGATTTCTGGTTGTTTTATGGTTCTTTTCTTTTCTTTCCTGTCTTCTTCTTTCTTCCTGTCTTCTTTTGTTAAAGATGATTTTCTTTGGTAGTGTGTTTTAATTTCTTACTTTTTATTATTTGTGGATCTGTTGTAGATTTTTTGATTTGAGGTTACCATGAAGCTTGTAATAAACATTTTATAACAAATTTTAAACATATTGAAACTCTCCTTACAAACAAATAAATAAGCAAAAAGAAATTCTACACTTTAATTTCTTCCCCCTCCATTGCTTTTTAACTTTTAGTTATTTCCATCCATATCGTTTTATGCTATATCTCAGAAAGTTGTAGTTATTTGTGACAAGTTTGCCTTTTAGTCTTCCTACTCAAGATACAAGTGATTTATACAGTGCAATTATGTTGATACAATAGAATATTCTGTATTTGTGTACTGTTATCAGTGAGTTTTATACCTTCAGATGATTTCTTATTGTTCATGAACTTCCTTCTCTTTCATATTGAAGAACTTTTTAGCATTTCTTGTAAGACAGAACTGGTTTTGATGAAATATCTTTGTCTAGAAAAGTCTTTATTTCTCCTTCATGTTTGAAGAATATTTTTTTTTTTTTTTTTTTTGAGACAGAGTCTCGCTTTGTTGTCCAGGCTAGAGTGAGTGCCGTGGCGTCAGCCTAGCTCACAGCAACCTCACACTCCTGGGCTCCAGCGATCCTTCTGCCTCAGCCTCCCGAGTAGCTGGGACTACAGGCATGCGCCACCATGCCCGGCTAATTTTTTATATATATATCAGTTGGCCAATTAATTTCTTTCTATTTATAGTAGAGACAGGGTCTCGCTCTTGCTCAGGCTGGTTTTGAACTCCTGACCTTGAGCAATCCGCCCACCTCGGCCTCCCAGAGAGCTAGGATTACAGGCGTGAGCCACCGCGCCCGGCCATGAAGAATATTTTTACAGGGTGTAATAATATTCTAGGTTTAAGGTTTCTTTCCTTTAGCACTTTGAATATGTCATGCTACCACTCTCTCCTGGCCTGTAAGTTTCCACTGAGAAGTCTGCTGCCTGATGTACTGGAGCTCCTTTGTATGGTTTTTTTCTTGTTTCCCTTGGAGCCTTTTCATTATCTGTGGCCTTTGGGAGTCTGATTATTAAATGCCTTGAGGTAATTTTGTTTGGGTTAAATCTGCTTGGTGTTTTATGACCTACTTGTACCTGAATATTGATATCTTTCTCTAGATTTAGAAAGTTCTCTCTTATTTTGTTGAATAACTTTTCTACCTTAGTCTCTTTCTGTATCCTCTTAGACTTGCCCTTTTGAGGCTATTTTGCAGGTCTGGTAGGTATGCTTCCTTTTTTTCTTTTTCTCTTCTGACTATGTGTTATCAAGTAGCCTGTCTTCAAGCTCACTAATGCTTTCTTCTGCTTGGTCAGTTCTGCTATTGAAAGATTCTGATGCTTTTCTCAGTTTGTCAGTTCATTTTTTCAGCTCCAGAATTTCTGTTTCATTTTTTCTTATTATTTCAATGTCTTTGTTACATTTCTCTGATAGGTTTCTGAATTCCTTCTGTGTTGTCTTGAAGTCCAGTGAGCTTCTCAGGACAGCTGTTTTGAATTCTTTGTCTGAAAGGTCACCTGTCTCCATCACGCTGGGACTGGTCACTGGTACTGTATGTGGTTCATTTGGTGAGGTCCTGTCTTCCTGGATGTTCTTGATGCTTGTGGGTGTTCTTCAGTGTCTGGGTGTTGAAGAGGAGGTGTTTATTTTAGTCTTCACAGTCTGGGCTTGTTTGAATCTGTGTCTCTTGAGAAGGCTTTCCAGATATTCAAAGAGAATTGAGTATTGTGGTCTAGGTCTTTGGTCACTGTAGCCATATGAGCACTGGGGGTGCCCTAAGCCTAGTAATGCTGTGATTCTTGCGTATTCCTCGTGGTAACACCTTGGTGTACTTGGTAAGATACAAGAGAATGCTCTGGCTTAGCAGACAAAGTCCCTAACTCTCTGTGCTGGGCTACTGTGAGGTGGGCACTCCCTCATGGCCACCCATGCCAGGTCACACCTGAAGCCAGCCAGTCTCACCCAAAGCCTGTGGTGACTGTTGTCTGGCTACCTGTGATGTTTATTCAGAGCCCAAGGACTCTATAGTCAGTAGGAGGTGAATCCTGCCAGGACTGGCTCATTCCCTTCAGGGCAGTGTGTTTCCTTCTGGCCCAGGATGGGTCTAGAAATGCCTTCCAGGAACCAAGGCTGGGACTCAGGCCTCAGAAGTCTCTTGGTACTTTATTTTACCGTAGCTGAGCTGGTACTGAGATGCAAAGCAAAGTTCTCTGAGCTCTTCCCTTTCCTTTCCGCAAATGGAAGAAGACTCCCTGAGCTGCTCTGCATGGAGTTGGGGGAGGGGCGGCACAGGCGCTCACTTGGCCCCCACAGCTGGTGTTTCACTGGGTCACGTGCACCCCCAGTCCACTGGCTCCGAACCACAGGAATTGCCCAAGGACTGCAGCCTTTGTGGCCTGACTGCCTTGGAATTTGGTCCAGGCTCCAGGCCATTTTTCTTCTGCCAGTGGGGTGGCGGGGCTAGCTGGAGGTTTCCCTCTGGGCTGGTGTGAATGTCTAGATGCCCCTCCGTGGTGGCCAGCAGAATCGTGCCCTGTGCTGTGTCCCCCTGTTTGGTGGCACCACAGAGACGGGGAGGGTGGCACAGGCAGTGCAGGGCTGTCTTTGCTGCCCTCCTCGGTGTCTCTTTCCTTCGCATAATGCCAGAACCAGTACTGTGATCCCTCATCTGAGTTTTGGTTCTACTGAAGGTGCCTCCTTGCATGGATAGTTGTTGAATTTGGTGTTCATGAGGAGGGACAGTTGCTGGAAGCTTCTATTCTGCCATTTTGCTCCACCCCCTTGTCCCTTACTTATCTCTTAAGAAGAATTCTCTAGTTGTAAAAGTCCTTTGCATTATAGAATTTAGGCACATACACAGCAGTCAAGATAATCATATAGTGAACCCCTGTGTGGTCATTGTTCGGCGTCAGCAGGTGTTAACTCATGGCCAACCTTGATGTAGCTATAGTGCCGTCCTGGACTAGTGTGAAGCCAGTCCCCATCAACACTTTCTGGAGAAATCCATGGTGGTTGTGATGGAAGAGCTCACTTCTCTGAGATCCAGCACACCTCTGGCTCCTGCATTCACCTTTGGCATTAGGTATAAATGTAGAGATGCTTGTCATGGATTCTGGATGGTTTATCTCGGCAGCACCTGGGTGCCACGTGGCCAGATAAATGGCGGCACTGCTGAGTTCTCATCTGAGCAGTCGCTCCGCGTTCCATGGCGTTCTGCACAACTCTGCTTTCGGGCAGCTCAACTGCAAACAATTACGAGACGCTCTAAATGAATTAGGGACATGACTATAAAGATGACTTTTTGGCTCTCTTACAGCAACAATTCGTGGTTTTATGAATTGTTTTTACTACTTAGGTAATTTTTTCAGGGCTTTGTTCCTCTCTTGCCCTGCTTAATGAGGATTCTGTAATGTGCAAATTATGCAAACACTTCCCACATAAAAATGCTAATCAATGTAGCACTGCAGTTTACTTGAGCTTCCTGATTAATTTGCACTTAGGTGAGAGAAATAGTTTCCTGCCTTTGATTAAAGTGCCTAATAGCTGGTTGTAAGCAGTTACCAGGGAAGAATATTTTACCTATTGTTTTTTAATTCTTTTTGAAAAGACTGGCACGGATGTATAATTCTAAAACATGTATCTACTATTCTTTCTTTCAAGAAGGCTCCCTTGAGAGTTTAGCCTGTGCCAAGCTGGTACCCGGCCTAGGGATGCACACAGACTAAGTGCAGTAGCAGGGTGGTAGCAGGGTGTACTGGCCAGGGTTTTCCTGAGAAACAGAACTAATAGAAAATATATAAAGCACTGTCCAGAAAGTATCCAACCATTATTAATAGAATCTTATATTAACAATGGCTGGATACTTTCCGGACAGCCCTCAAATATACACATATATTTTATATACATATATATATAGAGAGAGAGAGATTGATTAATTGATTATAGGAATTGGGTCACATAATTATGGAGGCTGAGAAGTCCCACTATCTGCCATCTGCAAAACAGAGCCCCAGGAAATCAGGTCTGAGCCTGAAGGCCTGAGAACCGGGAGAGCAGATAGTGTAAATCTCAGTCCAGGGCAGAAGAAGATGAAATGAGATGTCCCACTTTAAGCTGTGGGGCACAAAAAAGGGACAAACTCTTCCTTCCTCTGCCTTTTTGGTCTCTTCAAGACCTCAGTGTATTGGGTGATGCACTCACACTGGGGAGTACCACCTGCTCTCCTGATCTCACCTGGAAACACTGTCACAGACATACCTAGAGATAACGTTCACCTGGGCCAGTCAGGTTCATGCACACAATTAACCATTACACAGAGTGTTCCCTGCAGTCACCTCCTAGGCTTTGTTTGTGCTACTCCTGACAGTAGGAGTTTTAATCCACCATTTCCTCCTGGAAGATTCGATCCATACCACAGTGTTCCTGCAAATGTTATTTTCTCCCAGAACTCTCGCCAATTTCCACCCTAACAGATGATCTCTCTCCTGTGTTGAGCTTTCTCTGCCCATCTCTAATGACACTGACCTTACTCTGCTGGTATTTTATGAATATCTTAACTGCCCATTCTCCTAATCCTTCTGGAGGGCAAATATTTTTCTGATTCATACCAAACTAATGTGGAGATAAATGTTCAGCCACAACAGCAGTCAAGCTACAGGTGAGTTTGAAGAGTGCATTAATTAGCTTTTCATCTTTTCCATCTAGAGCGGGATACTTGGATGAAGATCAAATGGAAATGCTCCTGGAGCGTGCTCAGACAGAAGTCTTTTCTATAAAACAGAAGTTGGACAATGACTTAAAGCAGGAAAAGAAAAAACTCCACCAAAAGTTAATAATTAAGAGAAGACGAGAGTTGCTGCAAAAGGTACATAAGGCATTGTGCTATTTGTCCTTTGCATGACCATTTCTGAGCACCCACTGAGTGCCAGGTACTGTGTCAGGTGTTGCCAGCAGCGTGCTCAGAAGGGCGACTGTGCAGGCATCGAATGTGCCATCTGTAATTGATTGGTAGTGACTGCAGGCATCGAATGTGCCATCTGTAATTGATTGGTAGTGACTGCTGTGTCAAGCAGGATTCTCCAAGTCCTATCCTGCCTGTGCATAGCAGAAGGTTGTGGTAGACTACTCATGTCTGCACAGGCAAAGCACAGGAGTGCTGGTTTGAGTGACTGCTGATGACAGGTACTAACATTCACTGAGTGTTTTCTTAGCACTGTGCTAAGTGTGTTATATAAGAGATCTTGTTAAATCCCTACATTAACCCTATGAGGGAGGTACTGTTTTTTTCTGTTTTCTTTTAAATGAAGACACTGAAGCTTATAGTGTTTAATCAATGTGGTCAAGGCCAAATACCGAGTGAGCAGCACGCATGGCAGGTGTTGGGGAGCGCCAAGAGCACGAGGAGGTGAGGCGTGCCAGGAGGTGAGGGCAGCGGCTGGAGTGCACCTGTCTGGGAGTCAGTGCCAAGCCAGTGGGGGCGTGGTGTGCAAGGCCAGCGATGGTGGGGAACACTGAAGGGTTTTCAGCAGATAGAGAGAGAGATAAGATTTGTGATCCTGGAAGCTCGCGTTGGTTGGAGTTGGAGGAACCTGGGAACACTAAACCCCTGGGAGGCTGTGACACTTGGCCAGGTGAGAGCTGATGAGGGCCTAAACCAGCAGCACAGAGCACAGGTGGTAAGGACAGATTGAGAGGGTATGTGGCACGTGCACGGTCATCTGGGTAGTGGGCTAGTGGGCTGGTACTATTTGGGGGAACAGAGAGGATGCAGAATAATTTTTAAATGTGATCAATAGAAACTCTGCCTTCTATTATATTACCAAATGTGGGCCCAACAGATAGCCACGCCCCTCACCTTGACCACTGAAATATATCACATCGTGAGCAACACCCCATTCACCTCTGAGCCACTGGGTAAGGGGTCAAAACCACACGTCCCTGATGTCTGGCTCGGTCCAAGGTTCGTATCTAGAAGGATGGATGCACTGCAGATCTTACAAGAGATTCTGGAAGGCTTCTGTGAATATTATCTCTTGTAGCTACTTTTGATAAATACTGTGAGTGGCCCGCAATTAGAATATAGCTCCATGAAGGCAAAAATGTACGAATCTCCAGTGTTGAGGACACTGCCTGACACATAGTAGGTGCTTAATAAGTATATTTATAGGGCTAATGAATTGACACTCTCTGGTGACCAGGACCCACGAACACAAGGAAGAGCGTCTCACGCCCTCTCAGCCAGGACTGAGACTGCGCGCCTGCTCTTGTAAACACTGCCGCAGCGGGCATCTCTGTGCGTGCGGTTCCTGCCCACCGTGGGTCTTTACTCCACTGTCCTTTCTCCCAGGAGTGTTCTTTCTTGACTTCTTCCTTAAAGGTCCTTTGGTGACCTCCTCATTTAAGTTGTCTCTCAATGATCTCAGGTTTTTCCCTTTAAAATAGCACAATTTGCAGACACTGTGTGCCTGGCGCACAGCAACACCGATAGCAGATGTGTATTGGTGTGACCTCCACACCGGGCACGCCTCTAAGAGCTGCGCATGTATGCAGCAACTCACTGATACCCACAACTGCTCTGTGAGGCCGATTCTATTACCATCCCCATTTTGTAGATTAGGAAGAGGAGGCACAGAGAAGTAAGACTCTTGCTTTGGGTCACTCAGCTTGTGAATGGAGAAGCCAGGATTAGAACCTGGGTACTTTGCCTTGCCTACTCAGTAAATATGTGTTCAATGAATATTGAAGACGTGAAGTTTTTGCTGTCTTTCATTTTCTTAAGAATAATTTTCTAGATGTGAGGTGGTTGGGGGAAGGCCATACACACCCTGTGCCTCTGCAACAGGTTTCCAGAGCGTTTTCCCAAAGGGCTGCGCCCAGCTAGCCTGCCCCGCCTAATTTCCCTTTCCACACTTCCGCCAGCACAAGGAGCAGCGCAAGGCGCAGCTGTCCATCGGCGAGGCGGCGGAGGACGCGGGCCAGCTCCTGCAGCAGTGGCGCTGCACGGTGGCCGAGCACGGCGCGGGCCTGGAGGAGCTGCAGGAGCGTCTGGACCAGGCGGCCCTGGACGGGCTCAGGGCCCTGACCCTCTCGCTGTCCGAGAAAGCCACCGAGGAGCTGCGGCGCCTCCAGAACTCGGCGCTGACCCAGGAGCTGCTCAGGCGCGGCGCGCCCTGGCTCTTCCTGCAGCAGGTCCTGGAGGAGCATGGCCGGGAGATGGCCGCGCGCGCCGAGCAGCTGGAGGGCGAGGCGCGGGACCGGGACCGCGAGGGCGTCCAGAGCGTGAGGCAGAGGCTGAAGGAGGAGGCTCTGGAGGCCGCGGTGGAGGAGCAGGCGGAACTGCGGCACTGGGAGCGCGCGGTCTTCACGTGAGTGTGGCTGCCGTCGACCCCTGGCCCGGGAGGGTCCCCACGCCCTGCTTATGGGCCGACCTAGCGCAGGGCACGTGGCCCTGGGCAGAGGAGATCCGTGCATATCTTGATCACTGAACTCCAGCAGGAGGACCCCGCGCCAGGCGGGCTGCGGGACTGAGCGAGCAGAGCCGAGCAGAGCCGGGGCTGTGGGAGGCGGGCAGAGCAGTGTGGGGAGGGGAACTTGCGGTTGGCCAGTCCCGGTCCTCCTGGTTTCACCAAATGCCAAGGCCACGCGATAGTGGGCCTTAATTTTAGTTCTTCCACCACGTGGCACAGCCTTTCCACTTGGCCCTTTCATCCATTGGTTCATTAATTGGGCTACTTGTTTTTATTATTAACTCAAAAACCATGTAATGACTTCTACTTCTTTTTTCGGGGGCAGGGGATTGGGAGAGCTTTAAGATTGTATTTTAGTTCACAATTTGCCCCTTTTGGCCAAGATCTGCCAGAGGTAGCACCTATGGCCAAACCCTTATTTTGTCCCATCCATTGCCAGGGTGGTGTGGTCACCTGCCCTGGGTCCATCCAGTCCCTCGGTGGGACCCTTGTAGCCAAGAGGACTGAAGAGCCAAAAGGGAGCTTACAACCAATTAAATATTTTAGGCCAAACAGGACTGGAGGTAGACAGGCATTCATTAACACTTTAAAACCTTCTAGGCAAGATAAGAGTAAAATCCAAAATGTCAAAGACAAAGCTACAAAACTAATTTACCTATAAGTGTTGAGCTACTGTATGCTTGGGTCTAGTGGTAGACTTGCAGCAAACATAAACATTGCTAACATGTAAGCTAAGGGGATTTAGAGACCTTTATTGTGTCATAATATTTTAGTCTCTTTAATAATTTATATTAAAGTGGCCGACAAATTACTCATTATATCTATCTCCTTTTGTATAAACCCATAACTGAGAACAATTATACTCAGGAAGTTCTAAGTCTATAAGAAGCAGGAAAAAAAATTTTATGATTGAAATGGATATCTATAGCATGTGGTCTGAGAAAACAAAGTATTTCAGTTGTATTCCTTTAGGCTTCTGTGTGCCCCTCCTTGATCTGGAGGGCCTAACTAATTCCATCCCCCCAGTCGGCCGTTACAATCTGACACACCCCTCTTCCCTGATAGTCCCTGGGCCTGACTTCTACTTCTGAGTAGGAGAAAGGAGACTACAGCTACTAACATTCCCCCTGCAGCAACTGGAAAATGGTGGATGAACTGCACAAATAGACTCTCTAGACCTGGGAGCTGTGGCAGTGAGGACAAGCTGGAGTCAGATTCCAGGGAGGCCAGCGCCCTGCAGTCCTCTCCCTGCGCCACGCGCCGTTTCTCCTTGCGACTGAGACTTGGCGTGGCCGCAGCAGCCAGCCCTCAGTGGTGCTGTGGAGACCAACAGAGCTGTCCGCAGTTGTTTGGGGCTGGCTCACACGATTGGAAACTTGAGGAGCCTCAAATACAGGCAGTGTGGATTGAGACACAGGCAGTGGAGACCAAAGGGACCTGGGCTTAAATTCCAGGACCACCACTTACTGTTGGGTGTGAGCAAGTCACTTCACCTCCCTGGATCTCCTCTCTCTTGCCTGTGAAACGAGGACCGCAATAATGGAATCTTCTAGGGTGCCTTCAGCAGCATGTGGTGCCCGCTGGCGGGTTAAGTGTGAAGACAGTGTCTGTATGAGAGCCTGGGCCTTCTCGGACCTTTGATGGACAGCAGGTGGTGGAGCATCGGTCTGCAGGCCCCGGGGTGGAAGTTGTCTCCCATCGTCTCAATGGCCTCAGTGATTTCATGCGCCTTCCCACACGGTTCTTGTCCCTGGAGACTGACCTTGATCCCCGAGAGCAGGCCCCAGGTGTCTGCAGAGAGAGATCTTGTCTTGGTTTGCATAAGTGACCTCTGGCTCCTCCCCATCTGTCTCCATTGTGATTCTGGCCTCATTTAGTCTTCGGTAGTTTTTCCTTTTTTGACAGAGAAAACGAGATACTGTCTTTTCTAAGCCTGTAAAAATCAAATCCTTAAATGCTATTTTTTTATTCCCATGGATTATTCTCATCAGTATTTATTCTGCTCAAATTCTCTTTTCATGTTCAAGCTGGTTTTGGATTCTTCTTAGTGTGTGAATTAGTTTGGCATTCCTGTTACTAGATGGGTCATTTTCTCCAACTTCATTTGGCTCCATTTTGCAGGGAGTATTAATGAAGTCGCCACTGATTTAGCCATTTAACAGGAAAAAAACCTCTCACTTGGCTATCAGAAAACTCTGATTTTTCTAAGGGTTTAAAGGATCAACTCTATACACAATGTGAGTCTGCTTATATACTTTGCTTCTTTAAGATTCTGTTTAAAAGGTTGCAGCCTTTATTTCTGAGGCACTATGTAAAATGGCATTGCACAATAGTTTTGCAACATTTTTATAAGCTTCCCAGTTTTGAGCAAGATGGGGCTGTAAAACTGGTCAGCTGAAGTAGGAATTAATGAGGAATATTTTTGCCAGGAATGTATGTCTTGGAGACTTCTTTCCTAAGTTCCTGCCTTGATTTCAAACTCCTTCGTGTCAAAGATTCTGCCTCTTGTATCTCTGTATTCTCTTGGTGCTTGTGTAACAGGGGTTAGGACAAGACGACTAAGGACTGCTCTGGCTTGAAGGTGGGCGCGAGTACACTCAGATGTACCGCAGAGCTGCTTTCCCTGGGTCACGAGCAAAGGCTCTGCAGGGGGAAGGTGCCAGGGAGTGGCTGCAGTTTCTGGACCCACAGAAGGAAGAACCCAGGACAGGGGTGTCACATGTCGTGAGCTTGGGGACTTCAGACTATTTTTGATGGAGGATTCATGTCATCCCTGAAGGTCCCATTCTGCCTTCGTGAGAGGACTTTCCAGCTGGCCTACAGCCCCTTTCCCGCATGGAGACTTGGGTGCACTAAGCCTGACCCTGGCCAGCCTGGTAGGTGTTCTGCAGATATTTCCAAGCTTAAAGCATCCACAGAGCACATTCTTTGCCACCACTGTTGACAGAACATTGCCAGAGCAACCAAACGCATCCTTTTGTCACAGAGACTTTGTTGAATGAATAAGTGAGCAGATGCACACTGCCCAAAGCAGGGAGAAAGAGAAAAGACCAATCCCTGAACTGTCCCTTCTGCGCCAGAGAGGAATTCTGTCCAGACGTTCCGGGACTCCCGTATGGCCTCCTGTGGCCAGGCCTGGCTCCTGCGAGGCCGGGAGAGTGAGCGTGTGGCTCTTCTCCCTTCAGAGGGCGCGGGGCCTTGCGGAAGGGAAGAGGGACGTCCCTCCTTTCTGCGTCTGGAATTGGAGGACCAGGTTGGGGGTGAGCAAGGAGGTGGGCAAATGTGCTTGTTCCTTAGTGTTTCCATGACAAAGGACCACAGCCTGGGTGGCTTAAAACAGAAGGCGTTTATTCTCTCACGGTTTTGGAGGCCGGAATTCCAAGATCGGGGTGTTGGTAGGGCTACCCTCCCTCCAAAGGTTCTAGAACGGGATCTGTTCCATGCCTTCTCTTAGCTTCTGGTGTTGCCGGCAGTCCTTGGTGTTCGCTGGCCTGTAGGCGTGCCGCTCGTCTCTGCCTCTGTCCTCACACAGCCTCTGCCTGTGAGCTTGTCTCTCTCCTCCTGTTTCTATCAGAACTCCAGTCAGATTAGATTAAGGGCCCTCTACTCCCATGCAACCTCATCTTAACTTCTTTTTTTTTTTTTTTTTTTTTTTTTTTTTTGAGACAGAGTCTCGCTTGTTGCCCAGGCTAGAGTGAGTGCCGTGGCGTCAGCCTAGCTCACAGCAACCTCAAACTCCTGGGCTCAAGCAATCCTGCTGCCTCAGCCTCCCGAGTAGCTGGGACTACAGGCATGCGCCACCATGCCCGGCTAATTTTATATATATATATTTAGTTGGCCAATTAATTTCTTTCTATTTATAGTAGAGACGGGGTCTCACTCTTGCTCAGGCTGGTTTCGAACTCCTGACCTCGAGCAATCCGCCCGCCTCAGCCTCCCAGAGTGCTAGGATTACAGGCGTGAGCCACCGCGCCCGGCTCATCTTAACTTCTTAATCACATCTGCAAAGACCTGTGTCCAAGTAAAGTGACATTCGCAGGTACCATGGGTTAGGACTTGAACATATTTTTCGGGGGGACACAATTCAACCTGTAGGCTAGGGCTAGGGCTAGGGCTAGGGTTAGGGTTAGGGTTAGTGGTTTCCATGCTAGAAACCACAGTGAGTGGTTTAGGTTAGGGTTAGGGTTGCGGGCAGTCCTTGGTGTTCACTCGAGTGTAGACGTACCACTCTTCTCCTTCTCTGTCCTCACAGGGTCTCTACCTGCGTGTTCTCTGTAAACCACTCACTGTGGTTTCTAGCATGGAATAGGTTTCCACTAAGTGATCATGTCAATTAATCATGTTTTCGAGCCAAGTGCAGGAGACCCCCTTCGTCCTGAGCCCCTGATCTGAGCTGGCCATCTGTCCTCTGTGCCACTGTCCCTATGCACAGTGTGCCACTGGCTAGTGGACAACGCTTTGTTTTCATGGCTGTCTCTAAAGCAAGACAAGGTTATCTTCAAGGTCACAACTGATGGAAGAGACACCCTCCCAGGTTCGCCTCATTCGACTCTAACCCTCAGCCGCAATACGGTGTCACGTCCAACACAACACACGTTAGTGCTTAAGAAACACTTGTGGGATGGATGTGTGGCCGGGGCGCTGGGCTGCGCCTCCAGAGTGGATATGACTGATGGCCTTTGAACCTCCGGCTGCACCACCCAGCCTGCCCCCGCACTTTCTCTGGGTAAGACGCTTTGCTGTCCTTCCCTCTCAGGAGGCTCCGCTGCGCAGCCTTCTCTGTGTCTGAAGAGGAGCTGCTTGGGCTGCAGCAGGACATCCAGGGCTGCTTCGCTCAGATGGACAGGAGCTTGGCCCTCCCCAGGATCCGGGCCCGAGTCCTGCTGCAGCAGTTTCAGACTGCTTGGCGCGAGGCGGAGTGCCTGAAACTGGACCAGGCCCTGGCTGCCCCCGAGCTGCAGGTAGGAGGGATGTGTTGGTGCCCCGCCCCCGTCTGGCCTAGTGCAGATTTTGCAGTTCCGTGAGCTGCAGAGACTTCTATCGGCCTGCGGAGGCCTGGGGACTGCGTGACTCACTGGTGACCACAGACCACCTTCTTGCCGTGTTTTCTCTGACCCCTCTCTAGCAGCAGTCCAAGGTGAGAAAGCCACGGGCCAAGAGTAAAAGCAAGATAGACCTTCTGAAGAAGTGCATTGAAGATAAAGTTCGCCTCTGTGAGGAGCAGCCCCCCGAAGACCTGGGTGAGAAGGTCGGTGCTTCAGCCTCTCCCGTCTCTCTGCGTGCGGCGGGCACTGGCCGCAGGCCCATTCGCAGCCCGCGGAGCCCTGGGGCCTGTGCCGTCCATGCCCACCCAGGCACGCCCGCACAAACGTGTGCTCCTCCAACAGGACCCCGCCCTCCGCCAGGCCTTTCCACCCGGCTTTCCTCCCGGCACCATCCTCCTCCCTGCCTGGGCTCTCCCAGCATCCTTTGGGCCTCATGTGGGGCACTGTCTTCACTGGTTGTGGTGACTGCCACATTTGTGCCTGGCTCTCCTGGGGCACCGGCATCTTCGTCCCACTCTCATGTCCCTGCTCGTGTTGCACACCTGCCCCGCGCTCCCACGAGCACAGGGGCCTCCCCCAGCGCCGCTTCATCTGCGGTATCCGGCACTCTCCGTGCGGTCTCCTTGGCCGCTCCACTCTGTGTTCTTCCCTCTTCCTGGAATTTCCTTTCCACTGTCCTCACCTGGGTGCGTGGCTTTTGCGCTTGCTGTCCTAAGGTGTTGCCTCCATCCTTGGGTGTCCCCTCTTCCAGGAAGCCCTCCCTGAACACCCAGGTCTTCCCACGTGTCCCACCCACGCCGGCTCCCTTCTTGCCGCACAGCTATCACATGGTCCATTTGCTCCCCAGCACTGATATTTTGGGGAGGCGACAATGTCCCAAGTACCGTGTTAATGAACTCTGGGGTTGCAGCGATGGCTGAGACAGTCCTGGGCCGCAGGCGCGCACGTTCTAGTTGGGGAGGTGGAGGCAGACACGTGAGCGACAAACTGTGGTCTGTGCTGTCAGGGAAGACAGGCGGTCGCGTGGCCGCGCCAGGTGTCGGAGGCTGCAGAGGGGCTGACTAGGCAGGAGAGGGGGAGGGGCTCTGCGGAGGTGACGTGTAAGAGCGGACGCCGTGTGCCGGCTGCCTGGGGCCTGCCTGTGTCCCCCGCGCCCTGCAAAGGGCGGGCTCCCAGGAGGAGCATGCTCAGGCAGGGGCCTATCAAACTGTGCTGCACAGCTGCTGTTTCTGTTCCTGCCTTCTATCTCCTCTGTCTAGTTTCTGGCACGTTTTGTTTCTACGTCGGTGCGATTGTATTTCTCAGAACACAAACGCGTGCTCTGGCAAAGAGCCCCAGACACTGCTCCGGCAAGGTCAGTGGCTCCATCCCCGTTGCTGATGTTTTAGGAACCCAAGAAGTAGCATGCCGTTCCCACCTGGGCTCATATGGAATGGAAAGACAAAACAAAGATAAGGCAGACAGAGGCAAAATGTCACCTTCCTTTTGGCTAATTCTAGAAGACGTGAATCGGCACGAGTGCGGGTGGCCTGCTAAAGCACCTGGGGATTGAGCAGACTTGTCAGCAGGCACAGGCTTCTCCGGGGGCCGTGGGGGCCGCGAGGCCTGGCGGGCAGAGCGGAAGCCCAGCTGCCGGGAGGAGCAGAGGAGCAGGCCAGCTCCCAGCAGGGGGGCGGGGAGGCAGGAGGGGCTGGGGCTGCGCAGGCCTGGCGGTGCGGAAACAGGGTCGCTTGGCCCAGAGAGTGGGTGTCCCGGCCGGGCCACGCGGGCGGCTTTCCTGCAGTGCAGGCCACGCGAGGGCATGGCGGGCACCCATGGGGGGCCAGCCTCCAAGGCCAGTTGGAGGAAGACGAGGCTGGTCTCCTGGCACCGTGGCAGGAGAGTCGCGGGAGGAGTGTGTGCGATGGTCGTGGAATGGCTGCCGTGCAGCCGAGGGACAGGTGGTGCTCCGGCGGCGGGAGCAGCTGGGCTCAGGTCCTCCTCCACCGCCCTGCAGTCTCCTGCTCTTTCTCTTGACCGTCTCACCCACCGCCTCTGGCCGTGCCTGGCCCGTGCCCTTGCCCGGGACGTGCAGCAGACGCCCTGTCCCGCCGGCCGGCTCTCCCTGCGCGGAGAGCGGCACCTGCCGGGTACCGCCTCCCGCTTTGCCCAGGCATCTTAATAGAAGAACCAAGCACATTAATTTTTTCTCTAATTTTTTTCCTTCATTTTCTTTCTTTTTCTTTTTTTTTTTTTTAACCATGAGCAATTGTTTCTCTTAGTGGCAAATATAAAATATCAAATTTTTCCCTTTTTTTCTCTTTCCTTTTATTCTATTAATATTTGGATTTTGTTTCATTTAGAAATTATCAAGCTTTGCATCTCTCATTACCTCTTTTTCTTTTATTTGAGACAGGGTCTTGCTCTGTCACTTAGGCTGGAGCGTGGTGGCCTAATCATAGCTCACTGCAGCCTCTATCTCCTGAGTTTGAGTGGTCCTGCCAACTCACCCTCCCGAGTACCTAAGACCACAGGCATACCACCACACGTGGCTAATTCTTTTTAAATTTTTTGTAGAGACAGGATCTCACCATGTTGCCCAGGCTGGTCTCGTACTCCTGGCCTCAAGCAATCCTCTTGGCTCAGCCTCCTAAAGTAATGGGGTTACAGGTATGAGCCACCACACCCAGACCGCTCATCTTTTCTTCATTTCTTTCAATGTTGCTTAGTTTCTAATTCTAATACTCTGAGTATTATTACTAAAAATATCTCAACCTTGTCCTTTTGTTTGTTATCCCTGGTCCTTTAGAAGCTGATTATACCCTGAGGCCTCTGCTTTTGTTACAACATATAAAACAGGGTTCTGTTCATAAGTAACAGGCTTATGAGATAATCAGTATTAATATGATGTAGCAACATTAAAAGCAAAATTGCTTATCTAATTCCGGTCAGATACCAGGCATCCTGAAGATGCTTTCTGTGAGCATCGAGCTCCAGGCCGCAGCGGGGCTGCAAGCGAGGCAGGCTGCGGTCCCCTGCAGGCTCACGGACACTAGTTCCCAGCGCAGGGTCACCACCAGCGTGGGTGAGGCCCAAACTGCCTCGGCCCCTGTGCAGTGTCACCCACGTCATACTGGCGTCCTGTCCAGGAATTGGCCGCAGGCACCGATGACTGTCACTTCGTCAGCAGTGTGGAGCAGGCAGGAGAGGAGGCAGATGAAACAGGTGAAGACAGCCTTCCCTGGGAATCCTTGTGTGCTGAGTCACCTCATCCGGCTGACACATGAGGGGCAGTGTCACCAGAGGGCTGTGCAATGTCCAGGCCATCCTGCCAACGGGTCGTGCCCGCAAAACCATGTCCGTCTGGATAGGAATCCTGGATCTTCCCAGCTCAACCGTCTTGTCTACGTGCCACACATTCGTAGACACCTAGGGAATTTCCACAAAAGGCACAAGGCAAAAAAAGAAAGTGAGAAAGAGAAAGACATAACACGGTGACCAAGATGAGCAGGGTACAGGAATAAAAACCAGCTGGACTTGGCAGGGGAGCCCAGCGGCCACTCTGCATGGCGAGCGGGGGCCTCCAAGTGAGGGTGGTGCGCGGGAGCTGGGGTCTGTGATTTCCCAGGACAGTCCCAGCACCCTCTCCCTGCCCTGAGCTCATCTCTGTGGTTTACTTTTGGGGCAAACCTTCATCCTACAACACAGCCCCGTGCACAAGCCAGAGCTTCCGCCGGGCCCCGGGCTGAAGACGTGGCCACCTGCTCCAACACTGGCAGCAGAACTGGCATTGCTACTCCCCAAGGCATTTGCAAGGGGCATTTAGATCCCACTTTTGTCTTGTGCACTGATTTGAGAACTGATCTCACTGCATGAGATGTGATGGCATTTTAATAAGAATAGCACCTACTTCCTTTGTTTGCTTTTGAGTGCCTGTGGCATTTCAGGCACCTTGCTAAACATCTGTGTGTGTGTATATGGGTGTGCATATTCTGTAGGAGTGTGTGTGTGTATTAGCCATCCATATGTGAGCTATATATGTGAGTACTTACACTTATGTCCATATATATGCTAGTATGGTTTATTGAGAGCTAAGTGCTTTCCGTCTGTCCCTTGCACAGCCCAAAGGAGAAGACCCACTATCCTTGCTATATTAGAGAGAAGGAATTTAAGGCACAAGGAGGTCAAATAACTCCAGGGTCGCGACTGGTCTTCAGAAACCGCGTTCCTGCCACCTGACTAGCCTGGTCTTATTCAGTGTGGGCTTTAACTCTCCCAACTTCCTCAAGAAGTAGGAACAATCAATGTCCCTTTTGCAGATATGAGAAACTGAGTCTCAGAGGGACGAGTGAATTTGCCGGGGTTCCTGTAGCTGGGCAGAGGCAGATCCAGCATGCGAGCCTAGAGCTCTCTCTGTTCCTCATCACTGCTGTGCAGCTTCCTGACCACGTGCCCTGACAGGGTTGTCAGAGAATGCTCTCACCAAACCAGTGTGGTTATTCCCATAACTGCACAAGCTGGGGTGAGCATGCCTTGGTCCTCTGTCTGTGAAATGAGGACTGTGACAGCAGTGGCCCGCTGGTTACAAGTGGCACGCTAGCTACAAGGCCTGGCAGAGAGGAGAGGCAAGCAGGTAGGAAGGTGCTTTCCAGCCTGGGAGTGGGTGCAGTGCTAGTTTTCTCCAGTAACAGAGCAGCTCCCTGCTACGTCACCATCAAGGCATCACAGGGAAAGGCAGATGAGAGCATTTGTCATCTGTGACCTTTTAGTGACTGTCCGTCTTCACAATCAGCCATTTATTTCACTGTGGCAAGTGCCAAGAGGATAGGCACTCTCAAGGCAACAGCTCTGATGTGCCTTCTGAAATTGATCAGTGACATCTTTTGGCACTCTGGTGTGCTTGCTCCGATTTTATATTCACAGGGTAATTGCAGAGGGAAACGACAGCCCTCTCTCTGTTGAATGCCCACCCCTGAGTGTGGCTTGATCATTGGATTCTCTAGAGAAACAGAATCAGGGCTCTCCAGAGAAACAGAACACCCAGGATGTAATAGACAGACAGATAGATAGCAGATAGATAGATAGACAGACAGACAGGAGATTTATCATGGAAATTGGTTTTTGCAATTGTAGAGGCCAAGACGTGCCGGTCTGCCACCTGCAAGCTGGAGAACCCCGGAAGCAGGTGGTGTAATTCAGTCTGAATCCGAAGGCCTGAGAACTG